CAGTCATCTGCTTTATCTTTACTCCTGGGTACATGGGAAGATTGCATTTTCCCTTCCTCAAGTTACTGCATATAGAAGCAATAACAAATCCTGTTGAGTCTACTATTTAAACTTAGAAAAAAAACTTTCCTCTTAATTCCTAGAGGAATCTTCCAGTCACCTAGTCTCATCTACACTCCTGTGACATTGCGCCAGATGGTCTCTTCATACAAACTCTTCCCTTCCTCCAGTCCATCCTTTACATCACAGCTGGAACTACCCTCCTTAAAATCCTTGCCTTGGCCCTTCAAGTGAAATCCTGAACATCATGCAGAGACTCTGGATCGACCTCCTAAGTCTCCTTTCCTGTCTTTCTCATCCTCAAGTTTACTGTGTCCCTTGACCTCCATCTCAGAACCACCGCACAGCCTGACATCTCTAACCTAGAATTCCTCCTGCCATTTTTTTCTTAGTTAACTTGTATGAATCCTTCACATTTCAGCCTATATGTCACAACTCCTGATACATAAGAAACGATAAATATTTGTTATCTCATCCATTATTCCAGTTGAGACTTTCATCACCTCCTACTTATAATGTAGAAATGGCCTCTACCTACTCTCCCTGTAACTATTCTATCCCTTTTAACCACAGTGCCCTCTATGAAGATTCTAGTTGACTGGTGTGGAATATTACCAGAATTAATTTTCTAATTTTACCTTTGAGTTATTACTATCTTCCTTGCTTATCCCATTTAATTGCATCCTCCAATTTTAGTATAATTATTTAACTCAATAATTAATTATATAAATGATTACTCTTTTGACTAATATACTGACTACTCACAATCAATCTCATTTACTGAAAACACTAATCTTTATTTGCAGCTGGGCAATGTTTCTATCTATGTTGTTTCAAGAGTTGAACATCATGTTTTCTTATAATGCATTGTAAAAACTTGGAAAATTCACTTTCTTGATAACTTCACCAAAGTTGAGAAATTTTTTCTAAAAATAGGTTGTAAGTTACAATGCCAGAGTCACGTTTTCTTGTCTTTTGGAAGCCACTAAATCACAGTGCAGAATCATCAAAGTATATTGAATTTTACACAGCTCACTTTACAGGCAAAAATTGTGAACATAACTCCTTTTCAATAGATACAAAATCTAATAGTAAACTACCCAAAAGGATGGATAATTTATACTGCTTCTTTCAACAACAAAAGAAGCAGTAAAACTATGACTTACGAGAACTGGGCTACATTGAGAAATTAAAAAAATTGAGACCCTGGAAAGCAACAAAAACAACACAATATAGTCAGAAAAAAAAGGAAACATATCAACTTTATACCTCTGTTATTAGATAAATCTTCATATGCGTAGGGAATAAATACTTGAGCTGAAAATTCTTAATTAGAAAGCATCATGATTTGTAAAATAAATATATGAGTACAGTACATCTAAGATACACAAATAAGCATTTTAAAAGCAGGCCAGTAGTTGTCCAAATATAGAGAAATAGTTGGGCCATCTAAAAGGATTAAGATTGTTGACTAAGACTTTATTTAAGTGGGATCTAGTGAAACTTTCTCTTGGTGTTTAATTTATCAAATTCAAATTCCTAAGGTATTTATTTCAGAAGCAGATTGTTTAATGATTTTTGCCTTTCATAAGTTAAGATATTATTACATCTGCAGTTATGGTGATACAAATATAAAACATGTTAGCATCCTTTTGGTTTTGGATAGCCATTAATGGTCTTCTCTATTTGGGTAGAATTAATTTATCCATTCCCAAATTGGTATGCCTCATTCCAAACAGACTTTTCTATGGAATAAAATAACATATTTTTCTTGTTTCTATGTCTTTTATAAAGTTGATTAAGGAAAACTGAATTAATAGTGACATTGCAAGAATAGATATGATTATAAAGAATGGCAAAATCACTACTTTAAAGTTCATTCCATCTTTAAATTTTGTAGTAATAAAAAGAAGATATAACATTGCAGCTCAAATATTACTATCCTTGTAAAAGCTGGGAGAAACCAATAATGAAATTCTACATTTGTTAGCTTATGGTATGGTACAACCAAACATTCACCAAAATAAAAATGAGGTCCGTATGCATATAAAGTCAACTCTTTATCATAAGTATCATTAGAAACTATAGAGCCCCAAATGAAGTCTTGAGGGTAAAGCTCTTAAAATAAAGAATAACATTTTAAGTGCATAGCTATTACAAACTCATTTGATATTCATTTTAATTGTCATGACTATAATGAATATACTTTGTATTCAAACAGATGTCACAAGTACTGCTACAGAAGTTCCCATATAATTCAGTCTTAGTTAAAAACAAGTAAATGGAGATTTATAATTGAATGTTACCAGGAAGGAGGGAAAAAGCCAATTACGGCAAACATTGGCTCCTTCAAACGGCAAATTAAAGATTTTTATTAAATTGTGTTCTTTCTTGTTTGAACATATACAGAACACAGTGATACAGGAAAACTTGCCTTTCCTTGCCTCAGCTGTTCAGAGATTAGTTAGCCTGGAAAATAGAAAGTGGGAGTGGGAAAAATGACTCATAAGGGTAGGTTGAAATTTACTTCACAATATTTAGAGACTGATCTATGAAAAGAATTAAAAAATACTACAATGCCAATTTATCTTAGCTGAAGAAACAGGTAATTATGTGTGTGATTTTATTTCAATTGATCAGACAAGTTCTAACATTCCCTTTAATCTTCCCCCACATGGAGGACTGGCACCTTAACGCCCAACAGGAGAGACCTTCCCACCCTAAAGATGGTGTTTCCCAACGTATGGTGCACAGAACTATCCATGGAGCTGTTTTCAAAGCAAATGTTCCTGGGTGCCAACTGAGCTCCGTGAAATCAGAGTTCCGGGAAGAAGCTGTGGAATCAGCATCTCGAGAAGCCTGAAAATTCTCCTGCACGCACTCATTTAAAAACAACTGCCAGACGGTGAGCTGAGATAATATTCAATGCTATAGATTTTCATTTCATTCCAATCAGCAAACATTTATTAAGTACCAAGCCTATGTGAAAGAAAAATTTCATACATATAGGGTGTCCAAAAGGCAAGAAGCTTGTGACAAATTTGTCTTCAAACTACGATTTTAGTACAATGATAATCTACAAATGTCTGGAAACACAAAGAGAACACGGTGCTTATTGTTCAGATTAACAATTAACTTTTGATTTCAATTATTAATTCTTCCCCTGAAAAGGCATCTGGAGGTTGAAGTGTGCTTATTATTAGAAAATGTAACTGAAGTATTTCTTAAAAAGAAATGTATCCTATTTTTCCTGATGTTTTGGACATCCTGTTTTGAAAAGGAGGGTAATAAGTGGTTGAGGCTTCTTCGTGGCTGGAGGGAGACACTTGGGGTGTCAATGAGGGAGAGAAAGGAATGAACTGCAAGACTGGGAGCTCTAAAGACAAACTCTTTCGCTTACCTCCCACTTAATTCTCCTGGTGCCCAAACTACAAGTTGCACTTATTTAAAAGTCATATTGTGTTTTTTAACCACCAGAGCAAAACTCAAAAAGTGAAAGTTCACTTGGGAGTTTAACAGAAGAATTGAAGAAAATTTAAAAAATAAAGCTGATGGTACCAAGTTATTTGTCTGGTCAGCAACTTGCCCTCACTCCCATCCCAACCCCAGGACTGGCTGAAATCTTTGAAACGAACTTCATTCAATAAGGAGCACTCGTTCATGAAACCATGCAGACAAGCTGATCGGGTTCATTACTTGTGCCTAGTGCCCTGGATCTTCTATAATCCTTGGTTGACTTTTCCTAGCACTGGAAACCGGATCCAGTGAAAAAGCCTGTGATAAGTGAAGGTGAACAGAAAGACAGCTGGGCTGCAGGAACCTTAAAGCTTTTCCATGGCTCATGGCAGTGGTTCTCCAAGAGTGGTCTCAGTCCAGCAAGATCAGCATCACCTGGGAACTCATTGTCTGTCTGCTCCGGCTGCCATAACACAATACCACAGGCTGGGGGCTTAAACAACAGATGTTTATTTTCTTTCAGTTCTAGAGGTTGGAAGTCCGAGATCAAGGTCCCGGCCAGTTTGGTTTCTGGTGAGGGCTGTCTTCCTGGCTTGCAAATGGTCACCTTCTCACTGTATGCCCACATGGTGGAGAAAGAGAAAAAGCTCTCTCTTTCTCTATTTATAAAGCCACCAATCCAATCAGATTAGGAACCTAGTTTATCACTTCATTTAACCTTAATTAGCTCCTAAAAGGCCTATCTCAAATACAGTCACATTGGGGGTTAAGACCTCAACACACAAATTTTAGAGGGACACAATTCAGTCCACAGCACTCATTACGAATGCAAATTCTCTAGCCCTGCCTCAGATGTATTGAATAAGAAGCAGGGAGGGCACCCAGCAATTTGTGTTTTATTAACGTCTGCAGGTCGTTCTAATGCACGCTCACGGCTGAGGAGCAGTGGCCTTCAAGGAAAAGTCCCAGCTCCACAGCATAGCGTTTAGTGTCCTCCACAGTTTCTCCCATTTTTACTTTGCAACCTTATTTCTTACTGCTCTTCCACCTGAATTCTGCTTCAGCTCAACTGCTTCTCACCGTGACCCAAAGCATCATTCATTCTGTCTTCCAGACTTTTGCTCACCCTCTTTCACCAACCTTCAACAGTCTTTCTACCTCTTTATTGAAATAGCACCTCAACATCCCAGCCACAATCACCTCTTCCTCCAAACAGCAGAAGCACTAATTGTCTGAATCAAGCATTTTTCACATTTTACAGACTTGACTTTCTTAGAATCCATGGGTTACACTTGTCTGTAATTTTTTTTTTATTTTATAATTGTTTTTTTGAGGAAGATTAGCCCTGAGCTAACATCTGCTGCCAATTCTCCTCTTTTTGCTGAGGAAGACTGGCCCTGAGCTAACATCTGTGCCCATCTTCTTCCACTTTATATGTGGGATGCCTTCCACAGCATGGCTTGATAAGCAGTGCATAGGTCCGTGTGCGGGATCCAAACTGATGAACCCTGGGCTGCCGAAGCAGGATGCATAAACGTAACCAATATGCCACCTGGCCGGCCCCACTTGTCTGTAATTTTAGCACCAGGATTTGTACATAAAAAGCACTCAGATCTTTAGAATATTGTATATTATTTTGCTCATAACTCTTCTCTAAAAGCTACTCTCTACGACATTGGCTCCAATACAATAATGATTTGGGGCATGAGACAGCCCATTGGTCTCTGACTTAGCATTACGCCATTTCCAAAGTTGTTTAATATAAAAAATTAATACACTATTTTCTATTTATTAAGTCCTTGAGTGTATAAAACCCTATAATAAGTATTTAGTATATTATGTCATTAAATTCTCATAATCACCCTGAAATAGGCATATGATTCCTATTTGACTGAAAAAGACATTGGAAACTGAGACTTAAGAGTTCAACTAACTCCCCCAAAGTCACACCTGGGGATGGAGAGGCTGAAAAGTAGGAACCTGCTTTTCTGACTCAAAGCACATGCTTTTATACACTGAGAGATTTAGTCATCTGTCAACATGTTGAATTCACTGTCAAGAACACCAGAGTGTATCACTCTTGCAGTAAAGAAATTTCCAGAATATCCTTTGGAAACTCTCTATTTTCCATATCTCTAACACACACACACACACCCCCCGAAGGATTGCTAAAAGTGAGCCATCATGAAAAAAAAATTTAGGTTGGACTTCTTGAGACAGATAATGTTAAATGACTATAGACAACAAGGAGTTCTGAATTCTGTCATTATCCTATATGCAGTTTACCTGCAGACAGTCTTTTGAATGTTTTCATCTTTGCATTAAAGACAAATTCAAAGGGAATTACTTGAAAGTTCACAAGGAGCTCTGATAAACTTTTGCCCAAAGCAACTACTGATAATTAAGCGCCAGAAACACTCACACACATATATATGCATATAAAACAGAATAATCTATAAGTTTAAAACAATGCATTTTTTTAAAAAAATCATGCTTTCTTAGCTTCATTCCTCAGAAAACAAACCAAATGATTTATTGTACTTCTTCACAGCTGGGCACACGTTGAAGACTGGACTAGAAGATAATAAGCCACACCTGTTGTATTGTTTAGGCAATTCCAAGCACCAGCTGAGACAGTAATTAAAAGTAGCATTCCTTCTTGGCCTACCTGGGGTGTTCAACAACCTCGACATCTTGCAGAAATAGGAGACGTACTGCTCACAATACTCGGCGCTGCTGGTGATGGCGCTGATCTGGTCCATGGAGGCACTGTAAATGAGCTGTGTCACTGAGTATTTTTCTGGGTTGTAGCCCACCACTGTCGTCTGCATGTGCAAATCGTGAGACACTATGGTCCACACTTTGTCCTCTGTGGGGAGAAAATGCCATGACAATGGGTCATTAGTATGCAAACACTTGTTCAAATGTCAGAAAATAATTGAGCTACCATTTCACTGGTGTTTTCGCTGAACTGAGGAGGAACAGAGTTAGAGATAATAATCCTTAAAATAATTCCCGCCCTTTTCTCACACCTAAGGTCTGCTTATATTGACAAAGTAGAAAAGTAGAATGTTTTATTAGAAACATACACAAAATACCTCTTGAAAACAAAAACAAATAGCCTGAGTATCTGGCTGATGCTCTACTGGCCGCAGCATTGACTGTGAGGCCCGTGATATTCTGACTCCTTCCTGACTCTAAAGGCCATCACTCCTCCAGTAGAACAGGATTTGCTCTTCCCTAAATTAACTCTGCTCTCTCAAGCCTCTGGATCTTTGTACCTGGCTGTTTGCTGCAATCAGAATATGCATCCTTATCTTGTCAATAAAACCCTGACCTTTCCGGTAAAATTAGACACTGCATTCTCTGTTATTGAAATGCTCTGTACACGTGGGACAATACAAATACGTAATTATCTTGGTGTTTTGGACCCTGAAAATTTCAATGTGTGAAAAGAAGAAGCAGATAAAAGAATGATGAAGTTAAATTAAAACCCTATATACTTCTGAATTTGAATTAAAACCGTCATTATAAACCCATGATAATGTTATCTTTTAAAAAATGTAGACATATGTCCTAGGTCTGTCCACTGAAAAAGCCCCCAAACAAGGACCAACGTCTAGCACCAGATCGTCATCACTCAATACACTTTCCATCAAGAGAAAACTGGGCTCCCTGCAGACATGATTGAGTCCACGGCTGGAAATGTACAGGATGAGCCTGGAACATACTGTCACACGAGAAGTTATTGGAGACATAGGGCAGTTCAAAAACCCCCAGGGCCAGAGAGGGACAATTTTAACATCAATAAGAATTTCCTGCAATGGAATAAAATATATCAATTATATTTAATTCCATGAGTTCATTAAAATAAAAAGAAATGTTCAATTTTGGAAGATGCTAGGTAACTGATTATTTTGAATATTCGTAAAATAAAGGCAAAGAATCAAGCGTTTAGCCTATCTTACCAACTTGAATTGTAATGTAACTAAATGCTCCCTTTGTGGAAATATTTCAGCTCATAAATGAAGACTAAATAATAGAATTCGAGTATCATCATTTTCTAAGTTCTAAAAAGTAGGATCTACGCAATGATTATTCATGGCTGCTTATAACCAAAAGTGAAACCAGAGGAATACACAACACTACACGTGGAGCAGCGTGGACAAAAATCAAACACCAATTTCAGCAAGCTTGCAGCCCTCACGGCCGAAGTCCAGGAATTCCTGGGGAGAAGGGAACATGCTAAATGGCACCAAGGGGAAACAATCAGAAAATTAACACTGAGGGAAACCCTAGAGATTATACAACCTAGCGTTTACAACAGATAAATTATAAATGACAAGGGAAGAGAGACCTATAGATTAAGAGACTTCCTGAACTTGCCCCTCATGCAGTTTCCTTATGTCAGTAAATGGCAGCTCCATTCTTCCAGTTGCTCAGGACAAAATCCTTGGAGGCACCATTACTTCCTCCCTTTCTTCTACACGCGTCATCCAGCATGTCAGTGAATCCTGTCGGCTCCACCTGTTTATTAGTATCTGAGGACTCCTCAGCCCCACCCCACCACCACTGCTCTGGTCAAAGCCCCCATCGCCTCTCGCCTGCATCACCACAGTAACTTCCAACCAGGCCCCGGCTTTCCAGCCTTGCGCCCTCACACCCACCCTCCACGCAGCAGCCAGGCTGAGCCTTTTCAAATACAGGCCAGATTCTGCCTCTCTGCTGAAAGCCCTCACACGGTACCCAGTCTAGTTCAGAGTAAAAGTCTAGTTCCTAACGTAGCCGAAGGCCCTCCGTGATCCTACTCCTCCTCGCTCCTAGCTCTCACCCTGCTAAACTCCCCTGGCTCATTTAGCTCCAGCCACACAGACCTCCTGGTGTTCCTCAAACACGTCAGGATACCAGGGAAGCTCCCCCTCCGGAGACTTTGCTCTTGCTGTTTCCTCTGGCTGGAGCCGGCCCTGCTCAGAAACCCTCAGGGCGCATGCCGGCTCCTCCTGCCCTTTGCTCCAGTCCCATCTTTTCCTTTGCTGATCCCCAACCCTTCACAGCTGCTTCCTCTCTCCCCATCCTGCTTTCGTTTTCCTCGTAGCGTTGATCTCAATCTGACAGTGCCTATTTTCCTTATTTTTTACTGTCTGTCTCCCTACGCTAGAAGGGAAGAAGGTGGGGACTCTTTCCGACACTGTGTGCACAGTGCCCAGAACAGCAATCGGCACACGATAGGCCTTCAAGAAATACTTTTTGAATAGAAGAGTGAATTAACAAAAATAAACAGAATACAAATACTTGATCCAGGAACTTCTTAGCATCACTTTGGACAAGCTACTTCACTCCTCTGAGCCACAGGTTCCCTTCATCTGTAACACCAGCCTCCATGTTGGAATACTTTCCAGCTTGCTCTTCTTAAATCAATTAAACAAGTGCAGTTACGGTGGCCCCTGTAATAATACATTTTCTATAAGATAACTTATTTTTCCAGTTCACCTTCGGCCTCATCAGAACCGCCTTCCTTTAGTTTTTCTGATGTAGCAAAGAAGCTACAAGATATTTTAGTAATTCTGTCACTCTATGACACGATTCTGGCGACAAACTGATTGTCACTATATCCAGACCTGCATTTTTACCTTCACTTAATTAAAGATCCATTAATATTAATTAAATTAGGTTAATTTTATCTCTTTTCTGTTACAATCAGCCTCTGGCATAGAATTCTCAAATGTCTGACACTTTACCAGGATCTTGTCCTGCAGCAATATTCCAGAGCTCTCTTTCTGTAACTCATTAGGAATAGCATTCTAATCTGAACTGTCTTTAAAGGATCATAAACCCCTTTTGAATATACAGAAAATAATGTTCATAAAGGCAAACATTAATTTAAGCAAGTAAAAAAAAAAGGTCACCCATTATGGTCTCTCTCAATAACTTTAAAAACATTAACCAATTTGTTAATGTTAATGAGTCTAAGATTTTAGTCCTGGTGACTTCTTGGCCCTAAACTCTCCTTCCACCCCTCTCACCACACACATTTCAGTATGAAACTCCTGTGCACTAACATCTTTATATTTGTTGTATAGCCCACTCATTCATTCAACACATATCACTGAGTACCTGCTACATGACAGACGCGGATCAAGGCACCAGGGAAACCACAGAGAAAAAAGCATTCTTACATTTTTGCAGCTTACATTCTAGTGGGGAAAAAAAGCAGATAAAAAGTGAAAAATTAAAATAATATGTATAATTGGCAAGTGATAATAGTGAGGAGAAAAACTACATCAGGGAAGGGAAGAACAGGGGACTGTGTGTGGGGACTGCATTTTTAAAAACAGAGGAAGCCATAACAGCGCTCACTGAGAGCGACATTTGAATGAGTAAGGGCATTATCCAGCAAGCCATGTGAATGTCTGGGGAGGAGTCTTCCAGATAGAGGGAATGCAAATGAAAATGTTCTAATTCTGGAATATTCCTGGTATCATTCAGACATACAAGGAGGCCAATGAGTGAGGGAGAAGAGCGGGAGTTGAAGACAGAGGTGTAATGGGGATGGATGCACTGTGATCTCAACAGGAGATGGAAAGCTGAGGGCATTGGAAGCTTTGGGGCAGTTCAAGTAGTATGCTTTACCTTAGTCCTTGACATACCATTCTTTGCTTCAATAAAATTATACTTCAGAAAGGTTTGAAAAAATAATAAAATGGATGTATCTTTATAAAGATTTAAGACTTTTTACAGTGTCGTGGCATTATAAAAGGTAATATGTAAGCTCTATTTTGATGGCATAAAACAATTACTGTTGATGTATCTTGTAAATTATTTTTTAATGCTTGCATATTACACGTTGTAATGGTTCCTTTGGAACTATTAAATCTTAGGTGACAAATGGATATGAATGATTTTGCAGGTATCCAGCATCTAGGAGAAAGAAGGTTATGCTATACAGATTTTCCTTTGCTAGTATCATAAGTGAAGAAATGAGGAATCTTATTTCCATATTCACAGTGTGTTTATATAATACATATTATCATATATGTGTGTAATGCAAATAGAAACTACTGTGTAGGGCAAGTTCTAAATTTCTGCAACTGACCTATTTTCACAAAGAAGCAATTGATAAACTAGGGTGTGTCAAATACTCTCTTTGGAGTAGTGTGTTATGAAAATGTTCTTTGTGATTACTGAAAGCTTAGTATCTGTCTCATCATGCAGTCACATATTTAAAAATTGTCACATTGTACATTGTTTCAAATACAGCTGATTTAATGATATGTTTCAAATACTGGAGCACACATGGAACATATCATGGAAACACTTCCCTCTCCTTGGCGATAATGGGGTCTTCAAGGTTACCCAGCTTAGTTATGCTGACATGTACATTAGAAAGATCCCTCTGCTACTTATACCAGTGACCCCACATCTTTATTTTATTTTTAATTCTCAAGTAAGTCACTTCATGAGAACTCAATTCCTTGCGTGGCTGGAGTTCTGACCAGGGACTGATGAAGCGACCAAATGACCAGCGAAAAAAGGCAAATAACTCCTCCCAGAATATAACCAGTTTCTTCATGTATATGACTCTTATTTTACTCTTTTCCATGCTATCCATGTATAATCTGAGCAAGTCTGTATGTAGTATATCTTAATAACAGTCCAATCTGAGCTGAGTCCAGTGGGTAAGTTGTTTTGTGTGTCCTATACACCTGCATATGCGTCTAAGTGTTTTTGATTTTCAAACAATATCACTGTACTGGTTAATGCCAAATTTGTAAATCTGAGAGCTTTTTTTCACCTTTATTCGTATTAACTCTGAAACATGATAAATTACCTAAATTTAGGATGGTATATAGAACTTGCAGATGGGCATGA